TCTGGAGGCATGCATTCCAATCTACTTCCACAGCCGGCTTAGTTCCAATCCATTCAGGTTCTTCTGTCTTGAAATTCCTCTTTATCAAGCTACCGCTTGGAGCAAATACAAGCGCTGAGATGTATGCTTGAAGTGGAGCTTGCTCTATTATTGACTTATAAGATAGAGCAAACCGGTAAGCATCCCAAACAAGCTTTGATAACTGCGACTGATGATTACCTCCCTACATCTTTAGTTAGACCAAGTTCCTTGTGTGGAGTTAGACTTATACTTACTAGCAGGCCCTCGAGCTTTCTAATAGCAACAACCCCCGTAGACATAGATTGGAGTAGACTTAGAGCTTCCAGCCAGTAAAGGTACTTCATCTTGAGGAATGTATAGACAACCCCGTTGTGCTGTAAAATATCATTCCGGTATGTGTTCATGGTGGAAACTAAGTCGTACAGGTGATCAACCCAGTAGACGCACGAGTACCGCACCGTCGCTAGCGGGTCCGGATCCGGTACTTGGACCTTGTCGCTCTGAAATCCCGGTGCGCTTAAGTCGTATATATCGCGTCGCAATACTGTAGACATGGCTTCAAGTGACCTCGAGAAGATGGTATAACTCACATCTTCTTTCCCAGAAGGAAAAATCCACTTGAATGTCTTCAGAGACGCTTGGTTACCAGCTTTATCAGAAGCACTGCCCAATAGAAAGTCCTTGGCGGATTGGTGGACAAAATAAACAGTCTGGTCTCGAAGAGTTAAAAACGAGCCGCAAAGCCCTATAATCTCTTCCAAGGACTGCGGATCGTCTGAGATATCGTCTGATATTTCGATGAGAGTGGTCAGTTCTTGAAGACTGATGGGTCGACGAACAATAGAGGAGACGGCAAGAATTTGCCTGCACAGATCCACATAATCGGACTGAATAATCTGCTTCATCATCCGCGCATATAGGGAATCCAATCCAGTGGGGAATGCCCGTAACTTTGTTATTGTCTGCCACCTTCGAACGCTTGGGTCCGCAAGTACTTGGCAGACCAAGGCCACCCAGAGAAAAGTCCCATTCGCGTTAGAAGAGAGATAGTCATATACAGCCGCCTCCAATTTGCTGTCGTACCGTTTCAGCTGCGACAAGTGAAAAGTTTTGTAGCGGATATATGCACTGACGGCAGTGGTGACGGATTCGGCGTTTAGCTCGAGGCTGAGTCTGGACTGCTGCGCGACGATCGCCAACTGTTCTTCGATCTGCACCTCGTTGCGGCTAGATACAAGCCACTTGACACGAGCAGACACAGAAGATATCTGGACGATCAACTGAAGAAGCTGCGCTTGGTCTGTCACACATTCGTCCAGAGCATCAATCACCAGATAGGTGACCTTCAAGTTCGGGTCTTCAAGCATCTCGCGTAAAACCTTGGATAGGATAATCCTTGCCATTGTGTCATTGGAGGGGTATGTATTCTCCGGTAG